GGAAGGAGAGGAAACTCGGAGCTAATTGTTCTTGCCCTGAAATATGAATGTTAATATAATGAGTTAGCATATGGGCAAACAGTGATGCAGCACGCTGCCAACTCCCCACATTTTCTGCTTATGTTTATCCCCCTTTCTTCTTCCTCTATTTTTCTCCCCCTTTCTTCTTCCCCTTCTTTCCTCTTTTCCTCCTTGCTTTCCTCTATTACCCCCCTCCTTGCTTTCCTTTTTTTTTCTCCATTTCTTTTCTCCTTTTTCCCCTCTTCTCCCCCTTTTTCCTTTTTCCTTCCCTTTTTTAATTTTTCCTTCCCCCTTTTTTCCTTTCTCCTTTTTCTTCCCCTTCCCCCTTTTTCTTCCCTTTTTTTTTTTTTTTTCCCCCCCTCCCGCTAGCACCCAGACCGGGGTGCAGGAATCCCCCTCTCTCCTCATTGCTGAGCCCCCCAGGCACACCCTGGAGTGGGCAGCATTACGGGGGGCACAGGGACAGGCTCCCCCCCACCCTCCCTGTCCCCTCTCCCTCACAGCCTGGCTGTGCCCAGCACTGGGCATGGGGGCTTCTTTTACCGCTGGGCAGTAAAGGAGCCACCCAGCTCGGCCACTTTGGCTGGGGACAACAGGGTGCCTCCTAAACCTCCCCAGCACTTGTAGCAGCGTTAAAAAAAAAGAAAAAAAATCCCCTCCACCCCCCTGCTATTTACTGTCAGCCATAGGAGAGGGAGGCAGCCCTTATGCATAAACATCTCTCTGGCTCTTATGCTCCAGCTATGGGCATGTTGGTTCCCCCCCCTTTCCAAAAAAATCAATCTTCTTTCATGCGTGCATGTCAGCCTGATGTGCCTGGCTTTTACCGGGCAATCTTCTCCTGCAGACTTTTACAGCACCTCCCGTTTATTCTGAACTACGGGCAGATAGAAAGGGAGATAAATATCCAGCTCTCCAGATCTATAGAAGCTGTCCATCTATAGGCAGACGTTTTATAGGAGTCTGGGTGACTGGGTGTACGTCTTGCCTTAGGAAGAGCCCTCCTCCTTGGAGCACCCCCCCCCCATCATGGGTGCTGTGGCAGGGGGGACTGGATGGGGCTGGACCCGCTCCCCCTGGTTACTGCCGCTGTGCTCCAGCGTGGCCTTGCTTCAGCCCACGTTTTCCAGCTGTTTCCAGCGACAGGGGTCTGTCACACCCCGGCGGATGGCAGAAAGCAGGCAGAAACCCGCTGCCCCCCGCTCCAGGAAAACCAGGGTCCAAAGGGGTGTTGGACCGCGGGGGATGCAAAGTCACGCAGTGCCCTGGTGCTGCAGGGAGAGGGGTGCTGGGCAGCTGCTGGTGGGGCCAGCGTGGCCAGCACAGGTGGCTTGTGGTCCTCGGGGTGCAGTGGGAGCAGAGGGGAAGAGACATTTGCCCGTGTTGAAAAAGCCTCTGGGGGTGGGGTGGTGGTGGTTGGCATCCTGCACCCCTGGGTCACAGCTGGGACCCTGTGGATGAACCCCTGGCTCACCCTGGCAGTCTGGCCCTTGGGGGACGGGGGTGGCCATGGGGAGCAGCAAGCTGTGTCCCTGGTCGGGGGTTGTGGGATGCCAGCCCAGAGGGAGCGAGAGGCAGGTGGCAAAACGGGTGGCAGGGAGCAGGACGTGGCTTGGAAAATGGGGTGCAGAAGGCGAAAGCATCGTGCGCGTGTGTGTGCGTCCATGCATGGAGGAGCCGGCGGGGCCGTGGGCTTTGCTGTCCAGGAGGGTTTTGGTGAAGGTTTGCAAAGGAAGATGTGCTGAGACGCTGGTGAGGGGTGGCAGCTCTTCGGGGGTGCCAGCGCGGGGCTTTGCTGGCCGGGTGGGAGCACCGTGGGGGGCGAGAGGGCTGCGGGGGCTGACGCTGCCTTTGTCTCCATCTCTCTTCCCCCCTGCCCAGAGATCCCCCAGTGCGCCGGCTGCAACCAGCACATCCTGGACAAGTTCATCCTCAAGGTCCTGGACCGGCACTGGCACAGCTCCTGCCTCAAGTGTGCCGACTGCCAGATGCAGCTGGCCGACCGCTGCTTCTCCCGGGCCGGCAGCGTCTACTGCAAGGAGGACTTCTTCAAGTGAGGACCACTCGGGGGCACAGCCCCCCGAAAGTGGCGTCTCCCTGCCCCCAAAGCAGACAAACACACAACCTATTTTTAAGCATAATTTCTCCAAAATCTTCCTCTAGCTTTTTTTGTTGTTGTTGTTGTTGTTGTGGAAATAAAGGATTTGTTGGTGCTTTACAGCTGCCACAGGCTGCATGCTGTTTGTTGGGATTTGACCTTCTGAAAGCCCCAAATCCCCCTGATGCTCCTGGCCCCACCCGGTGCTGGTTTCAGCCCCCCATGGGAAGGCAAGCTGCGGTGGCTCCGCAGTGGCCCCAGCTCCGCTCGGAGCTAGAGGGCAGGAGAAACCCATGCAAGGCAGCAGCATCCATCGCTGCCTGCTCCCGCCCGAGCCCCTCGCTCGCTTCACTGGGGCTTGCTGATGCCGTTTCCCTCCCTTCATCTTTTTACCTTTCCTCCCCCCTCCCCCCCCTTTTTTTTTTAATCATTTTTTTTTTTGCTCCTGGTAAAAACCTCATTTGGTTTCGCTGGCAGCTGCCTCTGAGCTGTGCGATGCCCCAGCCTCGGTGTTTCCCTGCTCCACATTTCCTTTTAAAAATGGACTTTTCGGCAGCGATGCTTTAGTCCCTGGCAGCTGGCAAAATTTGGGAGCTTTCCCAAGAGGTGGCAGAGGATGTTGCACCAGGGCTGGGCACAGCTCTGCCAGGGGTGAATGGCTGTGAAACGGAGGGGTGCTGGTTTACTCCTCCTGCGGGGAGAAGGGCCAGATCCTGGCCAGCGGGTGCACCTTTTGCTGCCCGGGTGCAGGTGATGGGGACCGGCCGAAAAGGACCTGCTGCACTTCAGGGAGCGGGGCGGCCTCTCCACGCCATCATCCCCTGCACATCCCTGGCCATGCCGGCTCTCCCCATCATCCTCTGCAGCCAGCCGGCTGAACCAACCCATGGCGATTACTCCCCGGGCTAATCCCTGGGCAGGACTTTCCCTGCCTGCCCATCCCCGGGCTCTCAAGCCTCCTACATCCCCCCCTGCCAGCCATCAGGGCCAAGGATGCATCCTGAATTCTTCCTTCCCAGCTGGGGAGCATGCAATGGCCAAAGCAGCCGCTACAGCCTGGGTAATAACACTTCACTTCTGATATTTTCCAGCCTATTAATCTCCCAGTCATTTAAATAGTCGCCCAAAAGGTGCGGGTAATCAATGTTAATTAGAGTTGAAAGATCAGCGACTTTCTTAGATGAGGTCCTGCCTGGATTATTTGGTGCCAATCAATAGCATCTCGGCACTCTCTCAGGCTCTCACCTCACCTTTATTTCAACCGCTCATTGATTTTGGGGTAGGTAACCTGCAGAGGACGCGAGGATTTAAGGCCAACATCAGAGGCAGGTTTGCAATTCAGGAGCCGCTTCTGAAAAGTCCAGACTTTTTGATTTTCATCTTTTTTCCCTCCCTCAAATCACAGCTTTTGGTCCCCTGCCACGGGCAGCTCTGTCCTGGGTCCGACCATCCCCAGGTGGTGTGGGAACACCCCGGGATGCTGGGGTGTGTGTGTTAAAATGGCTTTAATTGTGTTATGTGTGGGGGGGGTGTGGATGGGCAGAGGGAGGATGGGGGCTGCAGAGCCTGCGCTGGCTCAGCCTAGGGCACAGAAAAGCATTCTCTGTCTGTCTGTCCTATCCTTCCTTCTGTAATCTGCCCGTCCTTCCCTCCCTTCCGTCCCTTCATCCCTCACTCCATCCCTTCATCCTTCCCTCCCTCCTTCCCTCTCCTGTCCCTCCCTCTCCCATCCCACCCCTCCCTCCCTCTCTCACCCTCCTTCCCAGCTGACTCCAGAAGAGCAGGAGGTCTCCCCAGCAGATGTCCAGGGACTCTCCCTTTAGGATACAAGCCTAGAAAATGAGACAAAACAGGTTTTTTCCCTCCTCACCTTCTGCTTCCCAACACCCCTTTGGGCAGCTGCCGAAATTGCGCCGGCGCCACTCATGCCCTGCCGCCTGTCCCTGGGTGACACCTTCGTGACTCGGGGACAGTCTCAGGGACCCAGCTTTGGTGGCTGTGCCCCAGTTTTCCAGATGGTGTGGGGGCACGGGGCAGCCTCGGGGCTCATGGAGTGATTTTGCATGATCAGGGGGTGTTCAGCCCTCGGGGGGCAGCCAGAGGTGCTGCGGGGTGGCTGTACCCCCTGGGCACTCCCGAATGCTACTGCCTGCCCTTGCAGCCTTGGGGCTGGGGACCAAAGGGCTTGGGTTTTCCTGGGGTGCCTCCTTCAAAGAAGATGGGTCTGTTTAAGGCATAGGGGAGGGATTTATTCTGATATCTTTGCTGCTTGGGCTGCTGCTGCAGCGCCAGGATGGCTCCGTGGTGTCCCAGTGTCCCACTGATGGGGTGTCTAAGGGTGCTGGGGGGAGCAGGGGAGACCCAGCAGAGCCCTTGCAGTGCCAGTGGGAGGTGGGGATCTGCCCCATGCCAATCCCAAAGCCCACATGGCTGATGCTGAAAACACCAGTGGAAACATCCACTCATTTCTGACTTTCTCCTGTGCTGCCACCACCTCATGGCACGTGTCACCCTTGCGCCGTTGATTTAGTTTACAGCAGGTGTTACCCAGGTGTTACCCAGGTGTTAGCCATCGTGTCTGCACAGGGCAACCTCACCCTGCCACAGCCCGAGCTGCACCCACACGGGTGCTGGTGGGTGCACTGGGAACAACGGGCACCCCAGGCTCTCTGCAGCAGAGTGCCTGCGATCCGTGGGGGCTGCCGACCGAGACGCACGCTCCTTGCACGCTCCTTGCACCATTCTTGCATGCTCCTCGCACCATTCTTGCACGTGCCTTGCGTGCTGCTCCCACGCGTCTCACACGCTCCTCGCACGCCCCTTGCATGCTCTGTGCAGCCATGCCGGTGGGCTCGCTCGGGCCCACGCCTGCCCCAAGCCAGCACACCCAACACACCGTCAGGCTGTCATTACAGTGTAAGAGCCCCATCATTCTGCATTAATCTGGGATTCATCATGCTAGCGGGGCGGTGTAATTAATTTATTTGGTATTAATGTGGATGAAATATGTACTGTCCTTGCAGGGGAAAATCAGGCAGCCTATAAGCATTAGTTAAAAGAACCATTAAAATCAAACCCTCCTCAGCTCCATTAGGCTGGTCTTTCACACTGAAGAAGATAAACCCCTGCCGTGTGAAGTGTCATGCATAATTAGGTTGATTGCTGGTTTAAACTCTGCCCTGCCTCCTGGTCCCACCCCATCTCCAGCAAAGTCCACCTCGCCAGGGGGGCTCAGGGTCACCCGCTTCTCCTTGCAGGCGTTTTGGGACCAAATGCACAGCGTGCCAGCAGGGCATCCCCCCCACCCAGGTGGTCCGCAAAGCCCAGGACTTCGTCTACCACCTCCACTGCTTCGCCTGCATCATCTGCAGCCGGCAGCTGGCCACCGGCGACGAGTTCTACCTGATGGAGGATGGGCGGCTGGTCTGCAAGGAGGACTATGAGACCGCCAAGCAGAATGGTAGGCACCCCGAAAGGGCTACGAGGCAGGACATCCCAGCTAGGGGTGGCCGTGGGTCATGTCACTGATGTCATACCTGCGAAAGGGGTTGCCACAGGCTCTGGGGCAGCTGGTTTTTGGGGAGTTTTTCCCCAGCGGCATGGGCTGGCGGTTCGGGGCTGCTCACGCTGCCGTGGTCGGCTCTGGTACCGGCTCCTTTGCTTGCAGATGACTCAGAGGCGGGTGCTAAGCGGCCCCGGACCACCATCACGGCCAAGCAGCTGGAGACGCTGAAGAATGCCTACAAAAATTCCCCCAAGCCCGCCCGGCACGTGCGGGAGCAGCTCTCCTCCGAGACGGGGCTCGACATGAGGGTGGTGCAGGTGAGGCCACGGGGACGCCCCTCTCCACCCTGCCCCTAGCAAAGAGGGCCACAGGGGTCCCACTGGGGTGCTGGGTTGCAGGGGTGCTGGGTTACAGGGCTGCCAGGCTTCAGGTGTTGCAGGGGTATTGGGGTGGCAGGGCTGCCTGGGAGCTGGGTTGCCAGGCGTGCTGGCATGCAGGGTTGCAGGGGTGCTGGCATGCCAGGTTGCTGGCCTGCTGGGGTGCATGGGTGCTGCGGGGTTGCCGGGGTGCGGGGTTGCATGGGGGTGTAGGAGTTGGGTAGCACAGATGCTGGCATGCTGGGTCGCGTGAGTGCTGGCCTGTGAGGTTGCAGGGGTGCTGGGTGGCAGAGGTACAAGGATGCTGGCATGCTGGGATGTAGGGGTGTCGGGGGTGCTGGCGTGCTGGCTTGCATGGGTGCTGGTATGCTGGGTCGCGTGGGTGCCATCATGCAGGGGTGCCAGGGTGCCATCAAGGTTCCCGTTTCTCCCCAGGTGTGGTTCCAGAACCGCCGGGCCAAGGAGAAGCGGCTGAAGAAGGACGCGGGGCGGCATCGCTGGGGGCAGTTTTATAAGAGCGTCAAGCGGAGCCGCGGGGGTGGCAAGCTGGAGAAGGAGAGCTCGGCTGAGGACTGTGGTGTCAGTGACAGCGAGCTCAGCTTCCGCGGTGAGCAGGGTGCTGGTGTGGGGTGGGGGGGCTGCAGGGCTGCCCCCTGCGCTGATCCCCCCCCTCTGCTCTCCCTCCTCTCCCCAGCAGAAGACCAGATCCTCTCAGAGCTCGGCCACACCAACAGGGTTTACGGCACCGTGGGGGACGTGGCAGGCGGACAGTTGCTGAACGGCAGCTTCTCCATGGAGGGGACAGGACAGTCGTACCAGGACTTGCGGGACGGAAGTCCCTACGGCCTCCCCCAGTCGCCGTCCTCCATCTCCTCCCTGCCGTCCCACCCGCCCTTGCTCAACGGGCTGGACTACGCCATGGACGGCAGCCTGGGGCTGGTGGCCCACGG